CTAATTAAACTTTGGTTCTAAGTGGCTTTGTAAACGATATTTAACATTCATTATAACCCCAAACTAATTAAACTTTGGTTCTAAGTGGCTTTGTAAACGATATTTAACATTCAGTATAACCCCAAACTAGTTAAACTTTGGTTCTAAATAACCTTGTAAAAAATATTTAACATTCAGTATAACCCCAAACTAGTTAAACTTTGGTTCTAAGTGGCTTTGTAAACGATATTTAACATTCAGTATAACCCCAAACTTAGTTAAACTTTGGTTCTAAGTGGCTTTGTAAGCGATATTTAACATTCAGCATAACTGGCTAATCCTTGGTTCTAAATAACTTTGTAAACGATATTTAACATTCAGCATAACTCCAAACTGGCTAATCCTTGGTTCTAAATAACCTTGTAAACGATATTTAACATTCAGCATAACTCCAAACTGGCTAATCCTTGGTTTTGTTTGGGACGTTTAATTTCGTCCCTACGATATGTCTGTCTGTACCATACACAACAGCCGGTTAACGAAACTCTGTAAATCGTTTGTAAACCAATTATTATAACTTTCGTGATTTCTAACTTAAGGTTGAAACAAACAACCTAGGAAATAAGTGTGTGTTTTTTATAATACGTTTAGTTCGTAAGCTGTAGATATATGCATTACCTAACTACAGTTTTAATGTGATCGGCACCCAGTGACTTAAAGAGTCCGAGAATTCAACTCATCAAAAATAACGAGAACCACTGACTTGCGTAACAGACCGCCCTCGCATGTGTCAGAGACAGATGACCTTGCAATGCTTTACTTCCCTTCTCCGCGAGAGGGCGCTTTTTTACTTACTACGAAACTGAGTTTCAGTTTTTCGTGTAGGTAGGACATTGGGAATTCCGGGCGCCGAGTGAAGCCAGCCGGCGCGTTATGTAAGACCGCAAGCTCGCCCTTTTACCATTCAGAAGCACGTGCGAGTTGAAAGAACAGTTTCTTACAGTTGAATCATAACCCCACTGTTATGCACTTGCCCAAAGAACTTAGACTGTCGGCTGGCAAAGCCAACGCCAACATGACAGACCTCTCACTCCCGGAAGAACGTGCCTTACACGAGGTTTTAAATGATCATCCAGGGGAACTTATACGTACCGGGAGTCCGAACTTTCTGTGTTCCATCTTACCGTCCCACTGGCGTTCCAACAAAACCCTACCCGTGGCTTTCAAGGTGGTCGCCCTAGCGGAAGTTTCTGACGGGACCCTAGTAACCATTCACGCTGGAAACGACGAGAATTTTTGTGCTGAGCTGCGAAACGCCACCGCCGTTATGAAGAGTCAAGTAGCGAAGTTCAACGATCTGAGATTTGTAGGGAGAAGTGGACGAGGTAAGTTATAAATAAAAAATGTGATTTTTTTTATCTGGATACCTATTGATTAAGTATTGATTGATTTTTTTGTCCGTGAACGTCGGCGGATATAAAAAGCACGTACTCCACTACCACGTGTTTTCTCCCCCCCATAACGTTCCATGCGTGTTGTCCGAACACTGCCATTAACTGGTACCTAATGATGACAAAACCTTGTCGAAACGTTGTACATTTGCTGTTATATTAAAGTTTTTCTTCATTACCCATTCAAGCCGTCTCCAGCCATTAACTTTTGTAACATTTTATTTTGTTCCGCACACAGTGGCGTCGCTAGAAATTTTTCCCGGAGGCGAAAACGTTTGATACTATCCAGATACCAAGTACACGAAATATACGTCACTAAACTTCTCTTCAACACCAGTCATGCACGTACTAGCAAGAAGGGAGGATTTTGTTGTTAACATATCTAATAAAAATTTCCGAATTTGTATTACCACAGTACTGCCCCCCCAATAACTACGCCACTGACTGGATACATCCTCTTTAGACTATCATACACTGGTTAGTGATCATGTATGACTTTAGAAAAAGTCATAGAATTTGGCCATTAAAGCTAATACCGACAAGACTGGATCGTCTTGAGTAAGTTGTCTGAAATTAAAATACAAAAGATATTCACGTGTTGTCAAGTTCATATTTAACTTGATGATTGCAACAGGTGGTAGAATGTTCTCTCTAGATGGTTTTAAAACATGAATTATTCCAATAAACCTGACATTTTAATCAAATTCCTCTTTAAATATATATATATATACAGTCAAGGAGTTTACAGTAGTTTTGATATTGACCACGAGATACAAGATGGTAATTTACCTGGCCAGCTTTAACCTTGAACTGTTCTGTTGGAAGAAATCAAAGATTTACGCTGTGATACAGTTTGTTCAGAGCACCGCAAACGGTATACCTGATTATGTTGTTGTGAGAATTAATTTCATTGGCTGTAAGATGATCTCGCTTTAGTTTCAACAGATGGACGGGGATTGTATAGGTTCTTGATTAGCGCCGACAATTGGCAAATCGTTTCTGGTCCAAATGAAATCAAACCGTTATAATACTGACATTACGTGGACGTCATTTCTGTCATATTTAAATCTAGCGGACAAAAAAAAGAACTGTTCTTGCAGTGTTTAAATTCTAAATTTAAATTCTTAAACTGTTGAACATGACAATTACTGTGAGTTGTACATTTTGTTGGGTTTGTTCCCATCAGATTCGAAGACAATCTTCAGAAGATTCTTGTTCGTTGAAAAAAATAACCTCTTACATAATGAAATTAAACAGAAGAAAAACGTTCTAAGTTAAATTAATACAAATATTTTATAATTCAGAAAAACGTTCTATATACGGTCGTAAAATTACATCTTCAACTGTACAGAATTCTACCACCAGATGGCTGGACACTTTCGTAAAGGAATATCCACAGATTAGACTGGAGATTTCTTCCAAAGTTGCGGAGCACGTGCTCTGTGACGTTTCCAGAGATGACATATTGGACGAGAGAAAGTTTACTAATACTGAACTGACACCATCTTTAAACCTAAGAATTCAAATTACCTCTCTGGAAATCTGTATAGCTTGACATTTTCCCCCCATTCGTAATGATTTGCATAATGCTGTTTGTTTGGACAAAGCAACTTCTGTATTTTCAATTCAAAGTAATTTCATCTGTGACGTAAAAATTAAGCCTATTTCAGCCTCTGGTTGTTGCTTCTTGAAAGCCAATAACGTTGAAGAAATTGTTGGATTATATGTTTGAAATTACCTGTGACGTTCCATAACGGCTTGATCCTGTTAATATGTTCTCTCCACAATATTGTACAACAGTTAAAATAATATTGTTGATACTTTCAAGGATTTTTCTACGGTGTTTCGAAGGTGCTATTTTTTATAGTGGATTACACGTTGGAATGTCTATAGTGTTTCAAACATATCAAAATCTGAGAACTTAGATGGTTACAGAGCATTATATGTATAGTGTCTTAGAAGGGAGAGGTCTGTGGTGTTTGATGAGGACTGATTATAGTGTCTTAGAAAGGACAGGTCTGTGGTGTTTGATGAGGACTGATTATAGTGTCTTAGAAGGGACAGGTCTGTGGTGTTTGATGAGGACTGATTATAGTGTCTTAGAAAGGACAGGTCTGTGGTGTTTGATGAGGACTGATTATAGTGTCTTAGAAAGGACAGGTCTGTGGTGTTTGATGAGGACTGATTATAGTGTCTTAGAAAGGACAGGTCTGTGGTGTTTGATGAGGACTGATTATAGTGTCTTAGAAGGGAGAGGTCTGTGGTGTTTGATGAGGACTGATTATAGTGTCT